GATCCAGCATTTGTGCTTGTTCAAATTTTAGGATGGAGTTTTTGTTATCTCCAGCTCTGAAGTACAGGTCTGCTAAGCTCCCCAGCAAGTCCACGTTATCCCTCAGCAAGGACTTCTTCTCCAAAGAGCTTAAAGAGAGACAAATGCCCATCATTTATAAATGTCACTCTCAGTAGCGTTATATATGATTAATATATTATTTCATGGCCTGGTGCTCTTTCCTCTCTTACCAAATGGTGTTAATTGCTCTTGTGTTGTCTCCAGTATGCACAAAGGCGTATGCCTTGATCCACACAGAAAGCCAGTCCAAGTTGGGAATGCTCTGGATGATGTTGATGGTCATGGAGGCCACTTCTGCTCCTTTCACTGACAGTGAGAGCAAGCCTGTTCAGGACAGTACACACATCAATCTGAGCCACCAAAAACTGCTTTTGACACAAATTAATTGCCTGAGGACCAGAAGCTCCATCCCTTGACAAGCATAAACGTGCAGCTTGTTAGAATTTGCATAACATAGGCATTATATACCACATGCAAATGCAAGACAAAATTCAGTGACAGTCCCAAGCATAATTCAAACTGTAGCACTGTTCAACACTCCAGATACCCACCCAGGATGGCATCCAGTGCCAGGGGGCACTGCCTCAGCACTTCTTTGTAGCTCGTCACAGAGGAGCGCTCCTGACCTGCCTTCTTGTAGAGATTGGCCAACATCATATTGATCTGCAAACAACAGAAATGTTGAGAGTCAGGTGGGAGAAAGGAGCAAGAAAGGTCAGGAGCCTGTCCTCAAGTCTGCCTGCCTTCTGTTCTGGGCAGAAGGGAATCACTCACTCTTCTGAGAACGCTGTAACTACCACACAGTACAAGATTCAGCTTCTGAACGAAGCCATGATTGATTAAAGAGCAGAAATTACCTGAGCTCTGCTCAACACCAGGAGCTGGTTTCTGCCACAACACTCTCATTTACTGGTGTGTGCAGGCAAAAAGTTTGCTTTTCTCAATCTCTTCTTCTTTCTCTGTTCTGTAAATTGGCCTTTGAACAGAACACTCCGACACTGGCTGGAGTCTGAGCCATGTACACTTTTAGGGCAATTGAACATGAAACACAGTTGACTGACCTGATGTGTTAATCTTTTAAGCCCTCATGACTAACGGAGCCAGCGAGTAAAGACTCCACAGATTTGGCACTGCAGACCACAGTGGGATCTAAATATTTAACATTATCTAAACTGTGCTTTAAAAGGATTAGAAGATTTTAAAAGATGGAGCACCAGCAAACCCCCTACTTGCCAAAGTCTCCAGCCTTCCAAGGATCTTACAACTATGCAATAAAAAAGATGCACAAAGCATTTACCTCCCTTCTCTTTTTTGAATTCTTTCTAACAGAGAGAATACAAAACTGGCCTGATTTTACAGAAATTAATAATAAGCTAATTTAAAATAAGGAAATGTTACCACACAACAAAAGCAAATACCAAGACATAATAGCATTATACCTACAGGTTGTATTCTTTTTTGACCAGACACTGACCAAGAAACTGTGACAAAAACCTGCCAGAACTAACCTTTGGGGTCCTCTGTCTGGAAGGAATCCCATCAAGAATGGCAATGGCATCTTTATCTTGCTTCAGCATTGTGTAACATTCAGCCATTTTGTATTTCACTTCAATTTCTGACGGCAAACACTGAAACAGAAAAGGAAGATTTAATACAACGTTGGTTTAATCAGGTAAAAAAATTAATAAGGTCTCCTAATTAAATATTTATACTATGTTAATAAACATCTAGTGCAAGTAAGTCAACAATGCAACTCACTGCTCGTTCATATTGTTCCTGTCCTCAAATGAAAAGCATGAGCCACACACAGAGAAAAATTTCATGTTCAAGAGTATTTTAAGTCTTCCGTTAAAAAATAAAACATTTGATTTTTTAAATTAATTAGCCTTAAGTGTCAGGTTTATTTGACAAGGTAAATCCACCATCTGAGGTATTTAAAAGACATGTAAAGGTGGTGCTCAGGGACATGGTTTAGGGGTGACCTCGGCAGTGCTGGGGTAAGGGTTGGACTGGACTCAAGGATCTTTTCCAATCTCAGTAATTCCGTGAATATTGAGTCAGCAACATTAATTGTAAGGGGGAACATGATCACTTCACACAGCACATTATCAGTTTTAAATACCTGGCTTTGGGGTGTTGATGTAGCATTCCCAGTGGAAGGTCTTACTTTGGAAGTTTTACTTAAGGCTTTTTTCTGCTGCAAGGCCATGGTGTACTTACTGACAGCATTCCTATATTCCTTGTCATGGAACAGAGAGTCTGCATGATAAACAAGGAGCTGGTACTTCTGAGATGGTGAAAACAGTTCCCTAAAGAAATGCAAACAGAAAGGCCACCATCAGCTGGCTGCTTAAGAACCAAAACCTCACAGATCCAAAGTATTTGCAGCTTTGGTTTGGTGTGGCTTCAACTTCCAACTGCGGCAGCTTCTTTACCACCCTGGAAGGACCCTCGAGGAACAGGTACTAACTCCAAACACAGGGATTATCTCACCAATTTCTTTTATCTGTGAACAAACAGAGGTGACAGCCACTCCTGACACCTCATCAGCAACAACAGCTCAGGGTTTGGCTGCTTGGCCACTGCCCCCATCCTTCCCACAACAAACCACAGGCTGTCAATGCCCACTACACTGGCTCAACTTTCTTTTAGAATTTACTCGCCTTCGATTATTTGTTAGTATTATTATTTTTCTGACCTTTTTACTATCCATCATTTGTGCTCGTTCAAATTCTAGAGTTTTGTTTGAATGGACTCAAGTTTAAAAGGCAACACAGGTGAAGGGACAGGACAGGGACAGGATTGGGACCCCCTAAATCACCCCCGCTCCCCCCCCCCCCGCCCCCTCAGCGCCCCCTGCCGGCGGGGCACTCACGGGTTGTTGCCGCTCATGGTGAGGAGCAGCCCGCTGAGCAGCCGCACGTTCGAGTGCAGCCCGGCGGCCGCCATCTCGCGCACGTGCTCCACCACGCTCATGCTGCCGGCGGAGCGGGAGGAACGGGAGGGCAGCCGGGTGAAGCGCCGACCAGGGTACCGAGCGGAGCACCGGCCACGGAGCCGCCGCCGCCGCCGCCGCCGCCGCCACTCCAAAATGGCGCCACCCAGGGGTCCTCGCGCGCCGCCGCCCGCGGGCGCCCCCAGCGCTGCCTGCGCGGCCCGACAGGCGCGAGGCAGGACAGCCCGGGGAGGAGCGCGCGCCGCGCCGAGGACCCCTCCCGGAGCCGTGAGGGGAGAGAGTGAGGGGAGAGAGAGGGGTGGGAGGGAAGACAGGG